TCACAGGCTGGAACCCACCCGGTCACAGTGTCCTGCTGACCAGCCTCGTCCTCCCAGCCGCCCGCCTGCCAGGGCCACGCGCTCCCTTCAGTGCGGAACCCGCATCTTCAAACCCTCCCCGTGCGATGTCTGGGGTCATGTCATGGCGTCCACCTGCCACGCGATGGACTCAGTTCCCCTGGAGGTGTCCGTGGGGAACATCCCCGCAGCAACCAGAGCTTTCTTCTAGGCTGGGGTGGCTCAGTGGTTGACCTGTAAGCCCTGAGGTCAGCGCGTCTGGTTCCCAGTCAGGGCACCTGCCCAGTGTGGGGCGTGCAGGAGGCAGCCGATCCATGATTCCCTCTCATCATGGATGTTTCTCTCTTTCTCTAGGATTCTGTCTCATCATGGTGTCTCTCTCTCTCTCCCTTCCTCTCTGAAATCAATAAAAACAATGTATTAAAACAGTTTTGATTGACCCTTGCCCAGGCCTCGGCCCGATGGGTGCTCACAGAGCCACACCCAGCACTCGTCTCCACCACGTGACCAGCCACGTAAGGTTTTGCTGGTGGGTTGGCCGGCCGTGCAGCGAGGACCACAGGCGGGAGGAGGCGAGGGGTCTGGGAGGGACATGACCCTGGGGGAGCCTCTGGGATCTTCTGATGGGAAGGAGCCAGGCTGGAGACATACCCCCCGGCCCCCTGATCCCCCAACCCTCTGACCACCTCCACCTCCACCTCCTCAGGGAGCAGTGAGCTCAGTCCCCAGGTCTGATTGGTCCCCGTTTCTTCCCGAGCATCAGAGCCTGAGCTGCTGACGGGGTGCTGTGGAGGCCGGAGCCTACCCTCCACCCAGCCCCTTGGGGACGCAGCCTGGCCCTGCAGCCTGGCCACCTCAGCCCTGGTGACCTGGTCATTTCCGAATGTGTTTCAGTGGCCGTGGCCGTGTGGCCAGCTCCATCAGGCTGCCCTCATGAAACCTCACATCCCCACTGCGTTCCCAGCCCCATGGACCCCTGCAGGGAGCAAGGGGGGCTCTGACCTCGACCCAGCGCAGGGACGCGTGTGCCTGGAGAGGTAGCCAGCAGGCCTGGGTTGGGGGGGGGGCTTTGCTTAGCATCTACCAGGCACCTTGGGGTGAAGAAAAGAGAAATCCCCGAGGGCTTCCTGGAGGAGTCTGACTTCAAAAAGAATGTGCTAAGTCCCTGATGCAATGAGGTGTGGACATCATGCCTCCCACCGGGACCCATGTCTGGGGCCTGGTCACTCCTTAGCAAGGGACGTGTGCTTCTGTCACTCCACAGACCACAGCTCAGTGGGCCGAGATGCCCGCGGGCTGGGAGGTCCGGGGGCTGCTTCACTCGGTCCTAAGGCTGGACCTCACTCACAGGCTGCTGATAACACCGCCTGGGTGGGGGGCATGGCTTGCCTTCCTCTGTGAGGTGTCTCCCCAGGTGGGGGTACCCCGGGGGCTCTGAGCCCCGCCCCCAGGCCCTCTGACGCTGGCTGAGCACAATGGTTGCCTTGGTTACATTGTTACACATGTGATGCCATCCCTGCAAAAGCCCCTGGAGGGGAGCGGGCCTGTGGGTGGAGGGAGGGCTCTCGGGGACCGCCATCTGCTCGCCTGTCGGGGAGACGCCCCGAGGACCACGGAACCCCGGGCCCTTGCAGCTTCCGGAAGAGCCTGTGGTGTCACAGAGTGGCCCGCGAGGGTTCCGCCTGGGTCGGATGCGGCTGAGGCGGGGGATGCGCCATGTCTGACCCACACGCGTTAGACTCCCCGGCCGTGATCGTGGACAATGGGTCCGGGCTCTGCAAGGCGGGCCTGTCG